CCACATTCTGTACACTTCCTTCTTCTGTTGGAGTTTTGCCAGGAGTTCCTTGCTCATCCATGCAGGTCTCCTGCCCGCTTTGCTCGACTTCTTCCTCAGAGGGATGCACTGATCTTGAGCCTGGAGGAAGTGATGCTTGAATATTAACCAGCTTTCTTGGACCCCTCTTCCTTCTAGGGCCCTACCCCATGAGATTCCCCTAAGTAGGTCCCCGAAGAGGCCAAAGTCAGCTCTCCTGAACTCCAGCGTTGCAATCCTACTCATTGCCCTGCTCCCTCCTCGTAGGATCTTGAACTCCACCATCTCATGGTCACTGCAGCCAAGGCTGCCCCCAACCTTCACATCTCCAACTAGACCTTCTTTGTTTGTTAGTACAAGGTCGAGCATTGCACCTCTCCTTGTAAATAAATACATGATTGTAAACATGGAATTATAACAGGCAAACAAAAGAGAATCTGATGACAGGCAATTGACCCAGAATGGAATGAATGTGATGGATGTTTTATCAAAACAGCTCAGCTTCATTTTATTACAATAGATGTAATACTATTTCAAATAATAGCAGAAACACAAGCTGTACTTCCTGTAGAATTTTTGTGTTGCCTACAGTTTTAAAAATGACTGTTAAGTGTAACCTTGAATCTCCAGAAATCTGCTTCCTTTATTTATTCAAAATCATGTCTACTCTGTGCAGAGTCTAAAGACAGTTACTAGACAGCAGAGCCATCACACCAGAATTTGTCAAATTTTACTTTGCTTACCACATTAACACCTTCCCACTCCAGGATCAACCTTTGTCCTCAGTTATGCCTTTGTATTTCACAGAGCAAATGAATTCCAGACTTCCCTATGAGATTTCAACATTGGCATATCCATACCTTTACCAGTAAAATGAATGTAGGCATTTGATAGCAGGAAATGTGCTCGATGACATACTCTGCAGCCTTGGTCTCTGAGTTAGCTGGATTCTCTTCCAGCATTAGGTGTGTAAGGGAGCAGAGCAGCAATGCCAGCCTTGTCCCAGCTGGGGACTGGAACATGGCCAGGGCATACACTTGGACCCAGTAACTAGGAAGCGCTCTTGGACCCCTCATTTTCAGCAGAGCCTCAGAATGAATAGCAATGCATCCTGTCATTTTCACTGTGAAACTAGACAGTGATGTAGAAACCACATCACATAACATTTTGTTAAAAGAAATCCTTAAAGTATATTGCTTACCTTCATTTGTTGCAGCTGCATCTCCTTTGTTGCTCTACCAGACTGCCTCCCAGTCCTGATAGTAACTTTTTCCTCCAGATCTGTTAGCCAGTTATTTACTTTCTGAAATTTTTTCTCCATTAACCTCAATCTGCTCACAGTAGCATTTAACCGCGTTCTTGCTTCAGAAAGCCTGTGCTGGTAAACTTGCCAATCCTGTCGTACAGATTCCAGGGCTCGGTCCTCTATCTGGGGCATGCCCCAAGGAATCACCTCCTCTCTGGCATGGATAGCAGCATTCAGTAATGCTTGTCCTTCCGCACAGTGGACCTGCAACTCCTGTAAACGCAGTTACAGATACAGATCCTGCATTAACAGCTTTTATTCACACAAGGCAAAGCCCTCATTCTACTTAAAAAAAAAAAAAAGTTATTAAATTATCTAGATCTTCCCTACGGGTACTTAAGGTTAAACACACATTACGCGACCTCTATGAACACCTTATGCTGGCGTTTCATCTGCAAAACAAACCCACTATCAGTACTATTGTCCAGTGAATTAGAGAGAATTATTGATGAAATATGCTTTATATTCCATCCTCTCCTGCTAAACTTGTTATAACTTCTGAAACAGTTGCCACCTTAGCTGGCATGGGAGCCTGGATTCCATTCTGCACAACCTTAAAATCAAAATTTTCCAGCTATGGCAAATTGTAACACTGATTCTAAAACTGAATCTGTTTAAAAACAAGGAACAAGATGATGCCTGAGATTCACAACTCAGACTCTTTAGTAATAAACATGCCTGTTTATTTCTATATGTTTTTCATATATAATTGTAAAATAATTCTAGATATCCTCTTCTGGATAAATGTGGCATTTTCATGTTTATTAGGACTCGATTAGAAAGTATGCAGGGAATCAGTTTGATTAACCAAATACAACCAGGAAATTACCTAACCAATATAGTTTTGTGTCTTCCTGTTTCATAACTGAGATATATATTCAGATTTTTAAAACGAATTCAGATTTTTAAAAATAAACTCTTATAGAAAGACATGTATGCAGAATCCCTGATCAGACAAAGATCTTCTCAGTATCCTGCAAAAAATATGAAAAATTCCATAACTCAGGAGCTCAAGTATAGACCTTCTGTGTTACTGATGGTTCAAAAACCGGTATGAAATCTTAAGTCAGCTTCAGATCATAACTGGGAGATTACTGAAGTACTAAGGGTTCACCCTTCACCATCACCTGAAAGGTTCACTCATAGTCTTTCCATCTCACCTGAGAGGTGAGATTGGTCACTGAAAATCTCACAGCTGTCAATGGGACTAGAATAATTCAAAGAATAATTCATCCCATCAAACATAGCTGTCTAACAGAAGTGGGAGCTGGCTGTCCTTCTCTGTCTTCTCCACAGAAGAAGCCTATATGACTAGCTTAGGCTACACTTTGACATTTAGACTCCTAAAGGTAGGTGAGATGCATCTGCATTGTAAGCAGTGAAAGATGAAAACTCAATGAAAGGATTACTTTCGATATTCTATGAAACGCAAAGAAAAGACAAGGCAGCATCCTCAACATGGGCCAAGACCTAAAACAAATTCAGTACTTGCATGAAAGCATTAGTATGCCTGGAGATTGCATACAAGGCCTGACATTTCTTCCTTGAAATAAGTGGCAATGTTTCCACTGACATTACTAGAAGCACTTTTGAGCAGCAAAATGTTTATATATGCGTGAGTTAAAGCTGTTCTCAAGGCACAAAAGAGAGGCAATTTCTGTTCAGCAGTTAATATTTTTCTGTTATTTTACACGTAGGATTTTTTGACCTGAGATGTCACAAGTTCTGTACCTGTAAGTCTCGGAGTGTTGCCTCCTGCTTCTGTGTATCACCTTCCAGATGTGCTAAGCAGTCAAGTTTCTCCTGTTCCTTCTCCAACCAGACTTCAAAGGCCTTCAGATTTCTTTGGTACTCCTGATGTAAGTTAAGCAGTCCTTCAGCTTTCGTTACTGCTTCCTGTTTATTAAAATATATATATATGTATATATGTATAATTGTTTCATCAAATCAAGAAGTTCTAAATCTAGAAGTGACATCAAGGGGATACGCTTAGATATGAAGCTGAGTTTTCCTAAAATTCAAGAGCATTTGGATTCTGAGGATAGTCTGATCAATTGTAGAGAAAGAGGAGTCAAGTGTGGGGATACAGATATACATCCTAAAAGATTCTTTACCTAAGTTCTCTGACTTTTGGGATCTGAACTTTTGATCTTGGATAGAACCTTAATATTTAATAACAAAAGCGCTATTTTACTTTTTTTTTAAACCAGTTGAAATTAATTAACTTTACTGAAATGATCAACAAGAGCATGAGCTTAGAAATTAGCTTATTTTTATTTGCAGAATTTTTTTTTTGCCAATGGAATACTAATCATCCAATCTTCTATTAAGAATATCCACTATCTTTAGTTTTGAAGACCAAGTCAGTTGCAGGCAATTCCTAAAAAATGCCATAAGAATTGGAATGCAAATTTACTATGTACATACATAAGCAAGTTACAACAATTTCATAACCAAATACAAAAAATATTACTATATCTGGATACAGTATGAATGGTATCATGTGTTAGCAACAGATCGGTCTTTTTAGGTACAAGAAGAGTATACTACATGTAATTCCCACCCTGGAAGATCTGCTGGGAACAGAGGCCCAAGTTTAGATGGAAGCAAAACTTGCTGTGTCTCAGGGCAGCATATTACACAGGCAGAAAAACTTTCCCATAAACAGTAGCCATGAATCTACTGCCTGCTTTAGCTATTCTTAACAATTCTGGACAGTGGGAGGAAGTCTATCACGTACATGGCCTGTCCACAGCCAGGAGTGGGAAGAGAGGAAAACAGATTAATTCTCTGTCCTGTTACCAGTGGCTGCAGGGAATCGCAGGCTGTGGTCTGCTCTGGCTTGGGTCACAAACCCCCGGAGAAGCTTGCAAACTTTTCCTCCTAGCCAGTTTTCTCATGGAGCAGATTTCAAGCGACAAACCCAAGGAGTACATTCCCGCAGCTACCAAAGTGTTTTTTTTCCCTCTGACTTTAGCCAAACTCTGCTTTCTAGATATCGACTTTGAACTTCTTGCAGCTTCAACGGCTGAAAGTAGCCTAGATGCTTAATACCATCACCACAGCTGCAAGTGGGGAAGATCCAAAGTCAGCTGGGGTGTTAGGTGAGAATGAAAGAAGGGATGCTTCTTGTTACATTAGCGAAGAGGTACAGAGCTGTTGTGCCTGTGAACTAGCACCTGGTTCTCACAGCTCCCATGCTGTTGCTCAAGTTGAGGATATACCGGCAGCTCATGACACCACAGATGTGTGCAGGAGACAAAGATTCAAGAAAAAATGAAGGTGAGAGGATCCCAGTGTTAGTAGGAATACTAGGTAAGGAATACTTACAATTTCCAGGACTCCCCTTTCACCTCTCTGGCAACCCTGAGTGAGTTCATTCAAACAGAGGAGGTCCAAAGAAAGACAGCTCATTGCATTCTTTGCGGTTGTGGAAGAGAATACCACACAACAAAGAACCACTTATGCATCTGAAAAACTGAATTTTGGCCCTCCCCACAGGATAAAGACATCCCTGAGAGAACAAAACTCAATTTTCTTACCCTGCTGTCATATAGAAAAGTGGCTTGTCTGAGGATGCAGTAGGCATAGTTTAATTACCACAGGAGGGATCTGGGTTAACTGGATATAACCATTTGGCTTTACTAAATGTACCACTGGGTCTTTTGCTCCTAGAGATGTCTAGATGTGTTTCTTCATCTTATATCTTACATTAAAAATCATCTCGGTCTTCACCCGTCTTCCAAATCCATCGTACTAGGATTTGGACTAGTTCGTAGGACTTATTATGCTGGATTATTTGACTACAGAGACATTTTTTTTCACTTGCTAATAAGATTTGTGTTTGATAGTAAGCCCTCAAATAAGTCTCAACCATTTGTGAATTGCTGCTGGTTGTGAATCTGCTGATTGTCTGACTACATTTGTTGCAAAACACACATTCATACAAACCACGGATGCTTTAGACTTTTCAGTCACGATAGGTAAAATCCTCTCTGCACTGAAGTCAATGAGAAGTCTGATATAGAACTCCTCACCTATTGCTTTTTTCAGATTCAAAACTTTAGATACTTTCTGAAAAGCTCTGAAGTTCAATAGCATGACAAGACTGATAACTCACCATAATAATTTTCTGTTTTATAAATAAATTACCTCTGCCCCAAAATCTTTAATTTTTATTTAACTGTAAAATAAATCATCAGAGAAAAGACTTTCTCTGCTCCCTTGTTGTCAGCAAAATTTGTTTCAACATTAAAGAAAACTGTACCCTTGTTCTGTCTTTGAGAAACTTGTATCGCTCCTGAAGGTCCTGGAGTTCGAGCTGGGTTACATAATGCTCAGTCATTCCATTGCCTTTTATTTCAATAGTCCCTAACAGGCTGCTATGACTCAATACTTCTTCACTGAGTAGCTGAAAGCAGAGAGTAGAACAGATTTATGAAATAAGCAGCATTAAAACAAGACCACAGATTAATCTTACAGTTATTCAGTCTTTTTTGTTGTTTATAAAGTAATACAGGTTTGTTGTTGATTTGTTGCAAAGCAAACACACCTTTGCTTTGCTGAGGGCAGCTGCTTTTTCCCTCAGTTCTGCATACTGCCTCTCAGAAGCATTCATGCTTGCTTCTACTTTATCCATCCAGCTGGAAAACTGGCGAACATCATCCTGGTAACTTGTCCATTTGGAGAGCGCTCCTTCCAGCTGACTGTAATTTAAAAATATGTATTTGTTGCAACAGTGCAGTTTTTCATGCTATTTAAGCAGTCAGATATAATCACATATAGTTACTCTATCACTCAGTATCACTGTGTTTATAAGACAGATGTACTGCAAGCTAAACAATCCCAGACAGAGCTGTTAAAACCCCTACAGGCTGACTAGGAGCACGTCTGGCTGATATAGAGGGATTAAGTTTTCCAAACTTGGAAGGTTAAGGAGGTCTGTAAGTTACACAGCTAGCTGATGTGTGCTAGCTTTAGTAAATAAAACACAATTGAAAGCATAAGACCCCAAATTAGAAATTTTCTGGACTTTTTCATACGTTAGTAAGTTACTGCCTTCTAACGGTTAATTGCCTTGGTTGTTTTAAATTGAAATGTTTGCAATTAGTGATGCTCCACTACAGAAGGCTGCATTTTTTCTGCTTGTTTTTTTTTTTTTTAATTTTATTCTATCACCTTGAGTGTCACTGTTAGAACTATAATTACAGAATTTTTAACAGTACTTTGCTATCAAGCATCATTCTGCACCTGATACCCTTTTTTACCTCTTGCACTGGATACAAGCAGACAGAAGAGAAGCCCAGTTGTCCTTTAGGGTCTGCAACTGCCGTTCAATCACTGGCACACCCTCTGGAGACGTATTTTGCAGAACAGATTCTCCTCTTGTCAGAACCATTTTCATTTGGATTTCTTTTTCTTGTTTCACTGCTAGGAGTCCCTAAAAATTGAACAGGTATTCCAGCGAACAGATGTTCCAGTTCTATCATGAACTGTGCATGAATATAGCAACTAGCTTCACTGGAAAATTAACTGATTAAATTTAGCAGTTTGTAGACAAAGTCAATAGGAAAAGGGGAGTGGGGTTCATAGCTGGGTTTCACAAGGAAAAGGTATCTTTCAAAGGGTAGTTTCAGGCCATAAATCTTAGTTAACAGAGAAGTTTTCATTGAATCTGTGCAGGTGCACTATATCACTATATCTGTGCACTATATCAGAGAAGGTACTTCCGGGGTGGAAGAGAAGACATTCTGAAAGTAATGTCCTTTAGGTGGAAAATAAGAGTATTTACTCTGGAAGAAAAAAAGCTGTGATGAGAAACCCTACTGTAGGGCTGAAGTACAGTTCAACTAAGATGCAAAATGAGAGTATCAGCATATAAACTCAAGAGACAACCACCAATGTCATCTTTAAGACCTCAGACCCTGGAGCTGCGCAGCTTTAAACTACAGAGCTGCTAACACTATGTAAAGTCATGAAAAGCTTGACAATAGAACCTGAAAGACTCAAAAAACAAAAGGAAAAACAAGAGTTTAGTATTTTGCTACAATCTCTTGCTTTTTGAAGCATCCTTACCATTTTGTGGGGCTTGTCTCAGATTTTGAGCTGTGGCCTAGCTATGGACACCAATGTTATGAAAAGTAGTGTTTCCTGAGTACAGTCTTTAGCATCTTTTGTGCAGCTATATTAGTAGGTGCTGTTTTCTTAACTGTAGTCACCATTTTTAAAGCAAAATCCTACCTGGGAGACACAAATTAGTCCTGGACAGGCAGTGTTTCAACAACTACAAGCAGACTAGGTTAGGAAAAGCTGTGCTGAATCATTCATATCACCCATAATATCTGAGAAAACGTATATTAAAGTAACAGAAGTGAATATCATACTTCCTCCTTTTAGCCTTCAACAGTCACATACCATCTTCTGAGTTTTTAGAAATTTGTATGTATGCACAATTTTCCATGTCAAAGTGGTAACTATCTTAGTGAAAATTTCTAATAATGAGTGCTTTCCACTCTAAGAAGTGTTGAGTAAATGGAAAATCAGGATTTGAACTGTACAAGCTGTTACAATAATAAGTAACAACTCATGTAAAGGATGGGGTATTTGCATTCCTCTTACAGATTTTAAAGCAGCTGGTTCTGGAATCTTGTTTCCATACCTCCAGCTTTAACATCCGGCTGTCCAGAACACTCTTGTCTGCAGTGGGATGACAGTAGGACTCCAGCATGTGAACTGCATCAGCCATCCAGTCCTGGAGGTCCTTGACACCATGAGAGAACTGCTGGTGCTCTGCAACGACCCTATCCATCCTGGAAACCTTCTCCTGAAATTCACCCAGCAATTAGCACCAGCAGCTATTCAAATCATCATTTTCCCCCATGCCTGCTTAGGGTGTTAGAACAAGTTTCCTAAATTACATCCATCCATTCTCTTCACAAATTCATTCCAGGCTCAAGTAAACGTACTTGCAATTGTCAATTTTGTACACACACGTATGAGTTGTTCAAACACAATGTATACATGAAAATTTCAGAAGTGCCCTCTTTTGTTTTCTACATATAAAGTTCCACCTGTCTCTGCCTCATTCAAAGCAGAGGAAAGTTTTCTGTCTATCTTTCTTTCTTTTTTTTTTTTAATACTATCTGGCAAATCACGCCTAATTAAACTCTGCAGCAATGCTACAACTGAAGATAACTTGTAAAACCTGCCAACGCACAAGACAGATATAAGCCTGTGAAGCTATGCCACTGTAGCAACATTATTTTGCTGATATGTAGGATAAGAAGGCTTATTTTCCTCAACAACTCCTACCGGCATATCCATTTTTCTGCAAAAATCAGTAACACTGACATGAGAAAATAAAAATGCTCGCGTTTACCAGGCTGTTCATTGCTACAAGGCCTGAGATTAACAAGAATTCAGAGAACAGTATACTTTATGTTGTGACTGAGAATTGAAGCCAACTCAGTGAAACACGTTGAGGAAGTAACAGAGGGGGATCTGTCCAAACTTCTATGGCTGTCCAAAAACTTTGGGATTTCTCAGACAGACAGGATCATACATATCCTCTGCCCCAGATGCCATCCTCTCATTCTGACATATCCTAGAAATTTGGCCCACATAAGCTAATGGTAGTTACTCATGTATCTTTCCTTTTCTCATTTTTTAATCATGAAAATTCATTATGGCCATATATAGAATAATTTTCAGTGAGTCATACAGCCTTACTTATGCTTATAATTTTTATTGCCACAGAAAAGACAGTCATTAACAAACTAGTAGTTACTCAAGAATAAGTATTTTATGAAATGAATTGTTTTCCCATAACACTTCCAACATCCTAAAATTATTCTAATTACAGTAGTAACCATAAACCTGATTCAATAACAAGCCTCCTTCATGACTGGCACTTTGTGAAGAGTAACAGTCCCGACGCAAAGACCTTTCAATCTGCTTACACAACAGAATATCAGGTGGTAAAGCATCCTGTCAAGTGCCACTCAACAGAACAGAAAGAATTTAACCTAACTCCTTCAGTTCCTAGCGTAATGCTTTAGACTTTGGCCTATTCCTCTCCCTGAACCTTCAAAAGCAGCCTGACAGATAACAGTTTCTTTTTTCAAAACAATGCTGAAGACCAATCTATCAAGTTTTAGACAAGACACTTAGGAAGCAAATAATGAATCATCATTATAGGATGTCATGAAGCAACAACATTTCCTTATAAAGCTTCTGACTCTTAAAGAAAAAAGTGAAACCTCCAAGTTTTGAAAAATACCTCTTTCAAGTGCCTTGATTACTAAACTAAATTATCTTCAGTGCTTGAAGTAATCAAAATCAAAATCACCTTGTCTTATTACATGAGAGGCAGGGGAATTATTTTATAACGCGGTAGTTATTTTTTCAATTACTTTTCAATCAAAATACTTTAAAAAACCCACATTTCTGTCTTGTCAACTGTTCGTGGAATTATCCAGGTCCTTACTTCCCACTCTTTAAACCCAGCGCAAAAGACAAGATAGCTCAGACGTGCCGCACAGCAGACGAGCAAGACAGCTGCAGTATTTCACGTTTCATTCCTTTTTTTTCTCCATATACATCAAATGAACTTCTTAAAAGCACATATATGGGGTGTATTACCTTTGTCAGATTGCTTAGAGTAAGGTATTGAGAAGACAGCTGAGACACTCTGCGCATAAAGCTTTTGCTGACAGCTTGCTCTTCCCACAGCTGCTGAGCTTTCTCTTTTAGCCTGTTGAGCTGATGCTCGTGACAGCTTATTTCCTCAAGGACAGACTGTAAAGCACAAGCATGTTAATGTTAAGAGCGTATGCAAGAAAGCAGACAACACAGAAGCGTGAAGCCCCTGTAAAAAAAACAGAAATGACAAATGGCAAGCATGCTGAGAAAGGCATGCTGTACGGCTACAGCAACGAAGCAGCCTGTGATGAGGAATGTAGAGATGCAACACCTGCTTGTAGAGCACTGTTGAAAGCAATGCTTGAAACCAGCTCGTATCTTATTTAGAGGCCATAATACCAGATGATCAAGTTTTTATAAGGAATGGATGAGCCTGGGAGGATGGGAGAGGAAGGGCTGGCTGTATTAAAAAGGCTCATAAGAAGTCACCTGTAACTTTTGCTGTTCTCTCCTCTTGGAAGGAAGATCATGGAGTCGACTACTACTTCCTTGAACCATCTTTTCTGTCATGCTCAGCCACTCCTGCAGAGGCTCAGCACTTACTTCAAAGTCCTTCATCTGGATCTTTAAGTTCTACGAAGACATGTAATGCACAAATTTATAAACAGTCCTACTGCATAGGGTGCATTAAATGCACAACCCACAGACCAAGCACACATGACATGATATACTACTGCAGAAAAATATGACCACATCTCTTCAAAATAAGTAACACCAACTCTGTTTCTTCCCATCCCACGAAAAAGTTAAGAGAATACCTCTTTAGGAGACAAAACAGAGGCAACAATTTAGGATATGTCTACACAGTTGAGGGAAGGCCAGTGCAAATCTCTGAATAGAAAGCTTTGCAGAGCTTATTAGCTTTTACTCAGCATCAGTCTAACTCACTTAGCTAAGGCAGTCTGCGTCTAGTTTGGGATGAGAGTTACTTAACATCTGCCTGCAGTCATTCACACTGATCTCTATTTAAAGGGATGCTGTCACTCCTAGGGGCTGTACGACTAAGTTCAACCTAGTCATGAGGATAGTTTCTGAATATACTTTTAGTGTAAAACTTCGGTTGTAACAATGTGTGCATAACGTGTATGCAGGCATTCCTTCAGTGCCTGCATATTTTCATTATAGGGTTATTCTGCATGCTAAAAAAAAAGTCTATCTTGAAATATTTCATATGGAATAGAAATACATAGAAATGCATTTTTAGACTAATTTTGCTTTCTTTTTTTAGCTACAGCATTATCATTTAAATTAAATACCAGAATAAAGGAATTGGCCTACGAGAATGAAAAATGCTGAGCTCAGAAAGATTAACCTCTTAGGACACCTTCCCATGGCCACTCTGAGACAAAGAAAGGTAAGACCTTGCTATCTGAAGTTTCTTTGAAAGAATTTACTACATGACCTATTAACTCAATTTGAAATTTTTCTCAGCTAACTAGACAGCATTAGTCTGAAACA